TTGTCTGATCCATCATATACTACTTGCCTGATCCACAATATACTACTTGTCTGATCCACAATATACTACTTGTCTGATCCATCATATACTGCTTGTCTGATCCACAATATGCTACTTGTCTGATCCATCATATACTACTTGTCTGATCCACAATATGCTACTTGTCTGATCCATCATATACTACTTGCCTGATCCACAATATACTACTTGCATGGCCCATGATATACTACTTGTCTGATCCACAATATACTACTTGTCTGATCCATCCTATACTACTTGCCAGACCCATTCCATACTTGTTTGGCCCATTCTATTCTACTTTCTGGACTTCTAAATGTAATATAATACTCCTTATAGCTTAATAAAAGAACAGGATTGAATTGAACCCAACTTATTCACTAAAATTCTAAAGGCCAGTTATCTCAAAAGTTATGCTACATACTGAAAAGTGTTATTGCACATTGTCTGATCCTTTCTTCACATAAAGCACCGTATACTTCTTCTTTCAGCAGACACAGAGTAATGCATGGGCTAAAGCGTTCTGTTATCGATTTCCACGAGGCGTCTGATTTATTTCAGGCATTTCTACTCGAACAACTGTTTTCAAACACACTTTTCAATCTGCCGGCTCGCGTTCGAATGTAGAAATCACACGAAACTCTGCGATATTAATGGGGAAACGAGGAATAATCGAAGTGTACGCTCCACGAACGAAATAGCCGTCCATTGCGATCCAACTGATGAAACATCGCTGCCACGAAATCGAGTGGTTTCGTTCGGCGTAGATTGAACGGGCTTTGACAGACCCATTGGCTTTTACGTTATTCGGTTTCTTCTTGATCGAAGCTTGTTTTACTGTTGACGTTTCGTTCCGTCGCGTTTTACACGCTCGAGGGGCATTCGTTTACCTTTGCCACTGCGATTGAGTGCAGGTGAAGGTACACAGATCCCAAGAATGGAAATGTGTAATTTATACCTACTCGTTTACTTTTCATTTTCCAGTTATTCTTCCACCTGGAAACCTTACTTTATTCATTTACTATGAAAAGGAAAATAACTCTAATTAGCTCTTTAACATTTTATTACGAAAGGATCGTTCATTAGTGAGGAAATTTCTCGAAATTTCCACTCCGAGAAATTTTATCCTTTTTAAAACTGATTGCAATTGCAATAACAGGGATAATTCATCCCAAGGTTAAATTCTCTCTCATCAGGTTTTGTTCCCGAGGAAAACCGCTTATTGTTCCATAGATTGCCGCTTCAGTTCGTGCCTGTGTTCGTAAGCATCGCGATTTCACCTCTTGTAGAGATCATTTGTACGGAAAGCCACGTTTTCGGAGTATTCGTTTTCCAGCACGAACGTCGAGTAAACGATTGAGTTGAAACGAAAACTCCGTGCAAATCGAAATGTACCGTTGCCGATAGGATCGAGAGATTTTTGCGATAAATTCTGCCCGGATCTTGTAACGAAATACATGAATCGTATTCAAGAACGTTGTTTCGCTCCGACTTAATCCGTTTGTAATCCGACCTAACACACTTGCCTATCTAACCTTGTCCCAATTTGTGATTTACTTGTATACCTGACTGTACTGTCTTTATCCAGCTCAACTTAACGAACCTGGATCTTAAGCATACGTTTGTCGAACTTACACGGAGCTTGGCTTACACCTAGGACCATCCTAACCAATGCTAACAGGATCAATTGGGTCAAACAGAATTCGTTTAATCCGTTCGGATAGACTGATACTTTAACAGTGATTTTCAAGAAATTTTCTCAAATACCGTCCGTTGTTCCAATGTATGAAATCGAGGTTCGTTTTGCTCGCATTGATGGGTGTACACAGTGGCGCCGATTGGAAACGGTTTAATGATTGACGCGAGGAGTGAAAGCTTTCAAGAACAGCAGGGATTATTGGCATTTTTCGTCACTGCTCGAAAGCAGCTCTCCGGGTGCTTGAAATGTTGAAAGTAATTCCTGACAGGCATTCTCCTTAAGGAAGATAAAATCTTGAAAGGAACTTTAATTCCGGCAAGAGTGTCTTGTAAAAATTTTGATTCTCTTCGTTATATCCTGAGAGGAAATGTACATAAAAAATTTGCATAGCAATGAATTGAACGTTAATGAAACTTAAACTCGAAGGAAGTTGTTAGTACAACGTTAACGATCGCATTTTTCATCGAGGAACGTCATAACGAAATTGCAGTTTACGTATTCGCGTTCTGCGGACCGGAAGCACGGGCCGAGGGGCGGAGGGAGGTAACGCTGGCATTTGCGTGGTAACAATAATATCGTAAATCTTGGCAGTTGATTTATATTCTCGTAAAAACGGTAAGCGAGCAACGCCCGTCCACGCAATTCACGTCGAATTTACGATCCTGTAAATGAAACGACTTCAATCGGTTGTCACTGTACCGGGTCGAAATTGCGTAATACCCTTTAAAAGACAAAGAAAAGAAGAATATGTAATTTAGGATAAGTAAAGAGGTCATTAATCTTTTAAAAAAATGAATAAACACGAGTTAGGATAATTGACTTTAGAGGAGGACATAGGGTTAATTTGTGGGCAAATTGTGTGCTAGGAGGTTAGGTTGTCGGTCAGGCAAGTAATGTGGGGCCCAGAGGGCAGCACCTGTGTGAAAGAGTAGAATATGGCTGTATGGGCAGTTGTAGTGTGGGACCCAGAGGGCTATATAAGGGCAGACAAGTAGATTATGGCTGACTGTGCAGTAGGTGGTCCAGTAAGTAATGTGGGGCCCAGAGGGCAGCACCTGTGTGAAAAAGTAGAGTATGGCTGCCTGGGCAGTAGGTGGTCCAGTAAGTAATGTGGGACCCAGAGGACTACATAAGAGCAGACAAGTAGATTATGGCTGACTGTGCAGTGGGCGGTCCAGTAAGTAATGTGGGCCCAGAGGGCAGCACCTGTGTGAAAAAGTAGAGTATGGCTACCTGGGCAGTAGGTGGTCCAGTAAGTAATGTGGGGCCCAGAGGGCAGTACCTGTGTGAAAAAGTAGAGTATGGCTGCCTGGGCAGTAGTAGTGTGGGTCAGATAAATAGTGTGAGACCCAGAGGACTACATAAGGGCAGACAAGTAGATTATGACTGACTGTGCAGTAGGTGGTCCAGTAAGTAATGTGAGTCCCAGAGGACAGTAATACTATGGGTCAGACAAGTAGTGTGGGTCCCAGAGGACTGCATAAGAGCAGACAAGTAGATTATGACTGACTGTCCAGTAGGTGGTCGAGTACGTAATGTGGGGCCCAGAGGGCAGCACCTGTGTGAAAAAGTAGAGTATGGCTGCCTGGGCGGTAGTAGTGTGGGTCAGATAAATAGTGTGGGACCCAGAGGACTACATAAGGGCAGACAAGTAGATTATGACTGACTGTGCAGTAGGTGGTCCAGTAAGTAATGTGGGGCCCAGAGGGCAGCACGTGTGCGGACAAGTAGCATATGGCTGACTGTACAGTAGGCATTCAAGCAAATAGTGTGGGGCCCAAGAGTCTTACAAGGGCACAGAAGTGGAATAGAATCCAGAACAAATGTATATTTATTCCAGAATATGATAAATGGTGAAATTCAGGTCACACAGTAAAAATATCGATGTAAGCAATGCAGGAACACCTGGATTGCATACCATTTCTCATCCCATGGCACGAAAGCGATTCCTTTTCCTTCTTTGTTCTTGTTTCCTGCAACCTTATAGCAGATGGTAAAGCTCCAACCGAAGGGGTGGTAGCATATCCTTCAGCTTTTATTTTCATTCCCTTTTCCCGTCGCTCTGCGACGAATATTTTACCGTCACTCGTGTCCCAACCAATCCCCTTTGTTATATTCGCTTCGACGAAGCGCGCTTTCGCGAATACGCTGAAATTACCTCTGGCGAAAAGCTAAAGAGACTCGATGCGAGGATTAGACGCTTTTGTTAAATGAAACTGGGAAGCGTGACGTTTGTTGATTAATCGCTGCATGAATATTAACGTCGTAACTGCGGTTCTTCTGATGCGGATATTAAAACACAAAAACACACTTTACCGCCAGTTACGAGGCACCCTGTGTTATTCATAAAAGTCCGTCGAGGGGGGGAAAAAAAATGAAAAGACCGAGAACATTTTGTTTCAATTTTTGATGCAATCTCTTGGAAACATTCTTTTTCCTTGTCGGGCAAACAGGCAGTTGATTTTCTTCATGATCCATTAGCAACGATACCTTGCCCCCCACCGTCCCTGACATGATGAGAAATGCGGCCAGACTGGTCGCGAAATTTGTTTCTCTGCTGCATTAACGTTTCGTTTCTCGGATAATTGCAGCCGCGATTCGAATCGCACGCGAAAGCTCGATTACCCGGACCAGGAGGACTCTCGTCGCGCAAAGATACACAAAGGTTAATGTAATTTCGATAATTGGCTCGAAGAGTGTTGTTGCTTTTCGTTTTACACAAACGATCACAGGGATTCAGCGGTTATGGTCGACCCTGTGTAACCGAACGGCTTCTACCCGTGATAGGATTACTGGGTATAATCGAACTAAGGGAACGAATTGAGGTTAGGTTTCGTTTTGTCGAATGCAAGTACTTCCTTAGTAATTCGATGCAGGCAATCTGTTACATGTTTGTTTCATTCATTTTCTTACGGTTCCATTTATTACGTTCTGGGAAAATCATTAAAAATGCATTGTTTAATTTAATTTTCTTTTAGGTTATATCGGAATTTGTAAAAAATTTAATTCAATATTATTCTTGTTGTTGTTTGAAAACTCTTTGAGTGCAATTGTCCCTTTGTCCGAACGTTAAACATAACCTAAAATTTACTTTGTAAATCCGGTGTTGTAACTACGGTTTTGAAATTGTATTGGAATTTATAAAAAATTTAATCGAATATTAGTGAAGCCTTTGTTGAAAAATCTTTCATCTGTACTGCTATTGAAATATCAAACATAACCTAAAAAATTTTAACGATCAGCTCGGCGTGCAATTCTTTAATAACATTTTAATTTGTTTCAGAGGAACCAGTGGAATAGACATAGATCTACGTAGATTAGACATAGACCAATGTCCATTGCCCCCCGGATCGACGCAGTTGAACATATTCGCAGCCAGTGACAAATGCAAAAAACGAACAACCGAGGTTAGTATATCAAAAAAAGAAAAAAAAGAATTCTGTACATTCCTCTAATTACACCGTTCTAGTTTCATCGAATCCAATTATTGAAAACCCGAGGGCATAACCCTTGCCTTCCTTTTTCGCAACAAAAACGTCAGTTTTTTTTAAATGGCTTCGAATTGAGCAGCAAAGCGGCCTTCGTTTCCTCCAATTAGGAGTGCCAACGATTTTTCCATTCGCGTGGATCGTTTTTTCATTTGCTTTCAATGAAATTTTCCCAGTTATACTGGCCATTCATGGCCTCGATGTTCGACATTCCGCATTTCCCGCGCTTTTTTCTGTGCAGTGTATCGCCATACCGGGATTGGGCTTTCGCCGTGGGAGCTATCGCTGCGTCTGCAAACGGGGCTTTTATTACCCGGACACAAAATCCACCAGCCGATACTACAATGGCACCGTGATCGAAGAGGAATACGAGAAATTGATGATGGTACGTAACGTATATCGATCGCTTCCTACCATGCACTCGAAAATTTTGAGGTTAGACCTAACCTAACTATTAAACACGACCATCGCATTAACCAATATTTTAATTGGAGAAGTAAAATTTATCGCACTAAATAAGATATTAGTTACGGTAAATTGAATTTATGATCAGTTTAACTTCTCATTTTTTGATATGTCAGTACAAAATATGATTACTTACGAATACTCGGTAGCCTCGGTTCAGGTTAGGTGTCCGCTCGGTTCAACCGTTTAACTCGCTATGAAATGGCTGAAGTTCCCAAGCTGTAGCGAGCCGATTAAAAGACAAGTTCAGCGATAATTTGTCAATGTCAGGTGTATGCGAGGTAAAAATCGTGTACCCGTGGTGAGGGAACGCGCCATTACTTCCAGGTCAAGGGATATTCATACATATTTCTTTCCTAAGGCGATCGTTGCTTGCAATCTCGTCATAAATTAGTTTCTTAGGCGTCAGGAACAAGTATGCTTAAATGCCTGTAAACTAGATGGCGTTCGTGTTTAAAGAAGCCTCTCAAAAGGAATCCCCAAATCGTTCCTTTTTCCGCTACTTGGGTGTTGACTTAAAGCTTCCAGCGCCCTTTGGCTCTGAGTTTAGGAACAAGATGTAAAGAAATGAAAGGAAGCGTTAAGCTGAATGCTTCGGATTGCTCTTCCTTATTTGGGGTTGTTGATTCACAGTTCTTGCAGTTGCAGAAGATAAATAAAAAGTGTACGTCGAGGGAATTTAAATGTTTATTGATGGAAGATGAGTCAACAACAAGGACAGAGGAGCAAAACCTTCCCCTGTGTCCTGTGACCAGGAGTTCCTACTAATAATTGCAGCCTTTGTAAGCTCATCAAAAATAAATAGGATATGTAGTCATCCTATGGTGCCCAGATATCAGGATGCAGTAGCCCCTCCAATCCCCCATACCTACATAGCCCCCCAGCCCACCTGGCCCCTCCTTTGAGTCGAAGAACCAAGTGGACTAATTTCATCCGAATTATCGACCTAATCATCCATACTTAACACTACCGTATGTCCTCTATTTTGAACTGGAGAGCCAAGTACATAGGCTACTGCCAAATAGCCCATGGCATCCCATCAATGAGGTCTATCGATGGAAATTATTCGAGGTAGTCAATTCTGACGATCATACACGGCGAGTTACTTTGAAAAGCGATCAGCGACGACAGACAGATGCGAATAATATACGCGATGATCCGGGCATAGGAGAGCTGATACAGGATCAAAGGGAATTACCGATCGAGGCTGCGCTACCGCATAACGTTCGTTCCCTGTGAGAATTGCCACGTGACCCTCGTGTAATTGCTGATAAATGACCGGTTAACACGCATTCGTACAAAAGGGAAGCGCCTTAGACCTCGCATTCGCTGTAATTAATATCCTCGGTGACAGCCGGTGCTGGGATCAGAGGTACACCCCTCTGCCTGCTGGTCGGGCATGGGTGTCTCCTGATGGATAACTCTAAACACGTTATTCCTGAATGATGTCTTGGTACTGTTTACGTTCATTAGGTTATTTTATAACTTTCTACGTGTATAGTTGAAGGATTGAGAGAAAAATGACCGAACGTTGAAAGGCAACGTCCTATGACATCGGAGTAGTAATATAATGGGTCATTACCTTCTAGCTGGATGTATGATATCAACGACCTACATTTAATTCATTCACAGCGACGAAATTAATTACACCGTCGTCATTAATTCTGGTTAGCTTCATTGGTTTCTCCGATGTCATTAAAGATTCTGAGAGAGTTCAAGACTTTCGAGTCAAAAGATGTTAATTCGATTCAGGTAACGCGATTACAGGGATTACATTTCTGAAAGAGGTTTCCCTTTGCGCAAAATCAAAAATCAAATTACTGGTATTTAATTACACCGTGTCTGTCCGCATTCTCGAGAAGGATTAATTGTGTTTGCCTGGTCAAAATAATTAAAAATAGGGAGATGGATTAAACGTCGGATTGTTAAGGCAAGGCTGTGTTTAATTTTTCTCGGGTAATTAAAAATTACTCTCATTATTTTTACCCGGCCAGGTGTTCGATGTTTAATCTACAAGTTAGAAAATTTTTAATTGCAGTGTGTACTTAATCTTCAAGGTACAAGTTCGCCTCGATATCAGATAATCGATGGCCGTAGTGTTACACCCTTCACCATTGAGATTACGGATCAAACATAAGAAACACTGACACAAGATAAATGAGTTTGTGCCTTTAGTGCTTAATCATGGCAAGGTTACGTAAATCACAAGACGAGGGGCTAAATCAGTGCTCTTTACGCCCTTGAGATTTTCATCACTTCCGTTTCTCTTATGTCTTGTTAACACAGTCATATCCCTTAGATTCATGGGGCACTTATGAGCTTTAGCCTTGGACTTTAAGGCAGGGACGTGAGGGGGCGTAGAGAAGGTAGGAGGCCACATGGTTCTATATCCCCAATGATTCGGTTTTGACGTCCCTTGCACCACTGTCATTCTTGTTGTCCTTTATCTGCTGCTGCTACTTGCCATGGTGCCCGAAGTACTTCTAGGGCCCCTGTAGTTCCTGGTGCCAGTAGCGTCCATGGCGTCCCCAGATCCTCTGGAGACCAGCCCAGAGACTGGTGCCTCTTGTGTTCATGGTGCTCAAAGACCTCCTGTTGTTCATGGGACTAGTAGAGCTCCTGGCATCACTGAATCTTCTGATCCCCCTGGTGTCTCTAATACTCTATGTGTCCCAAGTACTCCTAATATTCCTGGGGTCTTTAGTATTCCTGAGGCTGCTACTGTCCCTAGTGTCCTAAGTAGCCCTCATGTCTCTGACGTCCCTTGTGTCCCTGATACCCATAGAACCCTCGGTACCCCCAGTGTCCCACTGGTCCAACTGCCACTATTCCTAGTGCCCTAAGTGGCCCTCATGTCTCTGACGTCCCTTGTGTCCCTGATACCCATAGAACCCTCGGTACCCCCAGTGCCCCACTGGTCCAACTGCCACTGTTACTAGTGTCCTAAGTGGCCCTCATGTCTCTGACGTCCCTTGTGTCCCTGATACCCATAGAACCTTCGGTACCCCCAGTGTTCCACTGGTCCAACTGCCACTATTCCTAGTGCCCTAAGTGGCCCTCATGTCTCTGACGTCCCTTGTGTCCCTGATACCCATAGAACCCTCGGTACCCCCAGTGCCCCACTGGTCCAACTGCCACTATTCCTCTAGTGTTCCTAGTGTTACTGACAATTCTGCTGCTACTAATATCCCTGATGTCATCTATACTCCCAGGGTCCTAGCTACTAACCCAGAACGATAATAGAGTCTACATTTCCTACATCTTATTTGACGATCATTCCTTCCACTAAAATGTGTTTCGACTTAAGGACTAAATCACGCGAAGCATTGATTTGTCCGTGAAGCTTGAAAATTACTTGACACTTTAACAATGCATGTTTGGCCTCGTTACGTTTTTCCATTAGCCTGTCACGAAGTTTGCCGTAGATCGTGCGGTAACGATGGAAAATACTGACCCACTTTTTCTTATACTTTCCCCTGTTCCTTGCTACTGGTTCGGCTCAAGTAGGTACCATCAAAAGAAACGAAAGTAGCTCGCAGTAGCACTTAAACGTTCGATCGTTCCTCGCATTCTAACTACCTTTTTTATTTTCCTGTTGCTATTATCCATATAATAACCATCCCAAGACCGCAAAGAAACAAATAAAACTTCCATCGTCTCTGATAGCCTCGTACCCTTAAAAAGGAAAACATTTTTTACCTGATTCCTGGCGTTGAAGATATATGATGATGCTTTTGGTCGACTGAAACCAAAAACAGTGTAGCATAAAGGCAACAAGAATTTAATATACAGGGTGTCCTCTTATTACGGACTCGCTAGACCTACGTAATTGAATTTCATCGCGCTTTTCTGTTAACGCTCAGCCGCGTTTGCTTGCAAAGCCACGTAGCCTGTGTAAAATTAGCTTCCCGGGCTGGTGCGGTCTGGTTGCCTTTCTTTTTTCTGTTCCTTCTTTTTTATTAATCCACATATTTCACGGTAGCACGCGTTGCTCTTTACGCGGCGCTATGAAAATTCTATTATGCAAGCTCAGATACGTTTACTCTGGCTTGACGCGGGGATACGTTTGCCGAGGATTTCGAACGAAATAGGATGAAAAATTGCTTTAAACATTTCGCTTGATAACAACCGGCGAATTTCTGCTTCCTGAAATCTAATTAACTCTCCGACGATGAAAGATACGGAAGATCTCAAAACTTTCACATTGTGTTTACTCGATTAATTTCAGAACCAGTGTACCTGCAAGAAAAGAATGTTGTTCTTCTACTTTCCTCGGCTCGGGAATGTGCTAAAGTTTCGTGGCGATCTGCCAGTGTAACAAATATTCGTCATTCTGTACGAATAGCTGAACAGAATGGTACTTATTTTTTCAAAGCAAGACTGATGCCTTTGAATTTATTTTTCAAATGAAATAAATTCTTGTTATTCTTGGCTATTTTCTTTTAACAACGCCTGCGAGTTTCTGGATTCTCTTAAATAATTTCTCACACACGCATAGGTGAACACGCGTCACCCTGGAATCCGTCAAAGTTGTTCATAATTACTTCATTATCGTGGTGTCTTTAGGACCTCGGGATTCTATTAACGTCAATCTCGAAGTTCATCAGGCTGCATCTAACTCTGCATAAATTCCAAACTGTTCTCTGTCAGGGAACAGTCTGCAATTTGAAACATCTGACGACCGAATTTCCGTTGTCATTGCTCGTCTATGTCCTTTGGCATGGGTACCCATAGATCTACCCTTGTCTACCGCAAACTGCATATATATATCAAAATGTGAAATTTGCATATTGCTGAGCCATGTTTTCAAAGTTAGCACTTGGTACACAGGATAACTTCAGGTTAACATGTTGACGTCCTTGAATTTGGTTTTTTGTGAACTAGGACACTGGTAACATAAATAGCTTCTTTTAAAAAACAAGAACAGTAGTTTTGGAAAATATAAATGGATCCATAAGTTTGTATCTGTGGTGATATTTTCACGGACCACCTGGTGTACATGGAAGTAGCGATAAACCGTATAACCTGTCGATTCATTCGTTCTTTCGCACGAAAATGGATATCGACAGCAGCCAGCGTTGTCATCCGCATTACTATCCAGAGTTACGAGTTTGATTTGACGAGAGCAGCTGGGACGGACAGCGAAACGATCTCCCATTGGCTTTCAACCGAAACGTTATTAATTCGTCAACCAGGCTTGTACGCGTTCGGAACAGCGCTTCCTTTCAACCGTGGGATCGTTGTCCGGGACACACTAACTTGTCCAGTGATTGTTACATAGGGTCGTATGAAATTATTATTTATGCAGAGTCTGTATGTCTAAAATTTACATAATTGATATTTCAGATATTCAGGATTAAGAGAATGACAGAAATTTAGTTGTTTGAATGATCCTGGTGTCTTCAGCTCCCCTGGGGTTCTACTGTCCTTACTATCCTTGGTAGTTTTGGTATCTAGGGTATTCCTGGTGTTCCTAATATTCCTAGTGTATTTACTTTTTCTGATGTCTTTAATGCCTTTGGTGTCTCTGGTACTCCCAGGATTTCTGATGACTCTACTGATCTCAGTGTCTCTGGAATCCTCAGGATTTCTAATGACTCTAAGGTTCTTAGTGTTCATGGTATCCACAGGACTTCTAATGATTCTAAGACTCTTAGTGTCTCTGGTACCCCTAGGACCTTCAATGGCTCTAAGGCTCCCTGTGTCGATGACTCCCAGGATTTCTGATGGCTCTACGGACTTCAGTGTCTTTGGAATCCTCAGGATTTCTAATGACTCTAAGGTTCTTAGTGTCCATGGTATCCCTAGGACCTCTAATAATTCTAAGACTCTTAGTGTCTCTGGTACCCCTAGGACCTTCAGTGGCTCTAAGGCTCCCTGTGTCGATGACCCCCAGGATTTCTGATGGCTCTACGGACCTCAGTGTCTCTAAAATCCTCAGGATTTCTAATGACTCTAAGGTTCTTAGTGTCCATGGTATCCCTAGGACCTCTAATGATTCTAAGACTCCTAGTGTCCCTGGTACCCCTAGGACCTTCAATGGCTCTAAGGCTCCCTGTGTCGATGACCCCCAGGATTTCTGATGGCTCTACCGACCTCAGTGTCTTTGGAATCCTCAGGATTTCTAATGATTCTAAGGTTCTTAGTGTCCATGGTATCCCTAGGACCTCTAATGATTCTAAGACTCCTAGTGTCCCTGGTACCCCTAGGACCTTCAATGGCTCTAAGGCTCCCTGTGTCGATGACCCCCAGGATTTCTGATGGCTCTACGGACTTCAGTGTTTTTGGAATCCTCAAGATTTCTAATGATTCTAAGGTTCTTAGTGCCCATGGTATCCCTAGGACCTCTAATGATTCTAAGACTCTTAGTGTCCCTGGTACCCCTAGGACCTTCAATAGCTCTAAGGCTCCCTGTGTCGATGACTCCCAGGATTTCTGATGACTGCACGGACCTCAGCGTCTCTGGAATCCCCAGGACTTCTAGTGATTCTAAGACTCTTAGTATCCCTGGTACCCCTAGGACCTTCAATGGCTCTAAGGCTCTCTGAATCCATAGTACCCCTAGGACTTCTGATAACTCTAAGGCTCTCAGTGTCCCTGGTGTTCTTAGTCTCCCTACTGCCCTGATTTTGCCAGTTGTCCCCGATATCACCAAGTTCCCCCAGCGCCCCCACTGCTTTTTATCCCCCAATTGTCGTTTGTGTCACTACTACCCTAAGCACCATGGCTACTTGTGTATCTTCAAACAGCATAACTATGCAATCCTCCACGAATATAACTCTATGCTCTTTTGGATTCATTTTCAGTGAAGGTATAAACCGAAATAAACAAACGCGTACAATGTTATTCGAGTGGTAACACGGTAATCTCATGTACCATCCTCGGCTAAAGAACAATACAGGATTCATTATTCGTAGCTCGCGTTACCGCATCGCTCTCGTTGCTGCTTCCGCTTTGAAGTGGCGCCATTAAAAATGGAGCATCCCCTCGCAACCATAGGTGACTTTGAAGTAGGTGATACGTTGCAACGATATTCCATGCAGCCTCTCAATTACCATCACCCTGATCTCAACAGAATTGGAACAATCACCCAGATCCTCCCAGCTGTGCTGGTTTTGTTCTAGCGAAATAATGGCTGAACAATAACCGTACAATAGTGCTGGTCCTCCCGTATTTGTTGCACTTCTTTTCACAAACGCAGTGCGTCGAATCGTCCTGACAAAAGATTCGAACGAAAAAACAATTTCATTGTTTGTTTCTATTTGTTAATGTTGCGTACCGTTATTTTTTATTCTCCTTCGCTTTTTGTCTCCGTTCGGAGAGATTCAATTTTGAACCATTGGGTGTGGGTCAGTTCTTCGTAGCTTACAATGCGTAGCTTGAAAAATTTAAAGAGGTATCGAAAGCTTTGGAAAATAGAGTTCAAAAAGATTTCAAAATTAAATTGAAGCTTTTCAACAACTTTGAGTTAGCAGAGACTTAACTTGATCGTTTGAAGATTAATTTCATCCTTTTAAACAAATTTTTTCGACATCATCGATTGCTAAATGAAATAAATTTCAGCGTGTAACGAAGGGTTTGAAAAATATTTGAATTGAACTTTCATCTCCTATGTTTCTTTAGATGTTATTTTTCAACACGTTTGAAAAAAATGAAAATTAAACAGGGTCGTTAAAATTCAGGAATTTCCGGTTGGCGAACCTCTGGCAGGTAGTTCTCGCGTGGCAAAGCACAGAAACTTGGTCGACGAGCTTCCTTCTCGAGTAGCGGCGGAAACGGAAGAAGCCTAGCCTCTTCGTTTCACTTTATTGCACCGTTCCTTATCGCCCGGGGCGGCGCGACGCGGCGTCGCGTTGGTTAATTGCGCGGCGTTTCATCGATCACCGGAAGTGTCCCGTTGGTCGAAAGGGAATTCGGAAAACGACCAAATGTTTCGTACCTTTTCCTTTAACGAGCCGTTTCCGTAATCGCTGTCGGCCATTTATTTCCGAACGATCGCTAGTTCTTTTGAAAACATCGATACTCCCTCCATAAATCACCTCGTTTCTGTTTCTTTCATACTGTTCCCTGGTTCCTTCGTTCCTTTGCGATTTCTTTTTACCTTTTAAGGACCAACTGGATTGTATTGTTTTTCTTGGATAATTTTTTGCGAGGGATGATATCAGAGAGGCGAATGGTAAATTTAAGATTCATGTATTCGTTCGAATTTGATATTTATGAGTCTGTTTCGCTTCTATTTTATTATACATCTTTTTGTGAGGTTAGGGTAGGTAACAGAATCTGTTGGTGATTGGTGGCGCCCTCTGCGTCGCCATTTTCCCTAGGGAAGGCCTCCTTGCTCGGTGCTGTATTCTTCAGGGGAGTAGAGTACGTATAGTCAGACAAGTGATCACATCAGTAGTATATGACGATACATAGTCAGACACAATCCTAAATTAAAAAATCCTTAATTCCTGTAACTTTGATTGAACCAAGGCAACCTGTGACATATTTTTGGGTAATGTCGTTCGTGATCAAAGAGGGTCGTTCGAATTTCCCTTGTCATCGAACATCGTTGTTCGTGTATCAGATATCGCTGAAATTTACAATTCGAAACCAGCAGCCCAGATCCTGTCATTATTGACGAGCGCATTCTAATCAGAAACTAATCAGTACTAGCTTAACAACTCAGCGTCAGTTTGGTTAGACCTCCGCCAAACGGCTCGATGTAATCGAAAATGACGCGCTGTCATGGAAGACAGACACTGTGGCTGGAATATCGATGGGAATCCTGTCCCTCCGTGATCCGGGATCGTATCGAAACCCCGCAACATACTGTTTCGCCATAACCTCTATTCAATTGCCCACCTTCAACGATAAAAAAAAAATCCGAAGGAAAAGTTTCACGAATTGTATATTTTGGTCGAAAATAGAATCGCAATTTCAAAACGAAAAACTTTCGCGATCCTTGGGTTGATTTATTCGCTCGCCAGCTATCTGTTGCATACCTGCTTGATTAACGAACTGTGCGACGCTTATTTCGTCCTTGTTTAATCCAACTGTCCCCCATGATCGATGTTATTAGACCCTTATCCATTAATTCGACTCGAGTGAAAAATTTGCAAATATTCTTGAAAATTGATAACGCCTCGTGGTTCGCCTCCGCGGATTTAATATCCCGTCCTCGGTTGGAAGGAACATTATGGTTCATCGACACTGCACGTACACGCAGTGGATTTACATGGCCCTAATGTCCTTTAAACCATAACAGTCGCCAGCCGTGATTTGTGAGAACGATAAATCCAGTGGAATTTAAGTCCGATAGTACTCACGATTTACGATGCTGTGATTTGTGAACGCTGAGATTTACCCCAACGTTGTCGCGTAGTGCTGGCCGTTTAGGGGGGGGATTTGTTTCGGCCAGGATGGCGCCACTTTCGCTATGAACGTTAATGAACCATTTAACTAATCACCTCCGACCAGTGAATAGGGGGAAGAATAAGAAAAATGCTGATTAAATTATTTATAAAAATATTTCTTTGTTTATCGTCGACAGAGCGAGGAGAGCCAGTACGACTTGGACGGCGTCTTCGAGTGTCTTCCCTGTGCAGAGGGCTGCGAGTCCTGCGAGGACGATTCCCCCTGTGTGGTATCCTTGAACTGGTTAATGAGAACAGCCATTCTGATTCTGGAATGCTGTGTCATTGCCTGTTTGCCGGCTGTCGCCCTTTTCACATGGAAATATGGAAACGTGAAGGTAAGCACTTGACATTACCATAACGCTATAGATGCTACAGTGTAGATGTTTAACTCGGCGACGACCACAGACATATCGGGACGTCGTATGGAAACACCGCAATACCTGAGTCAAAAGCTTCATTTCGTTTGCTCAATTTCGTGCTATTTCTTCCCGGTGCATAAAGAGCTCCCTTTGAAAATTTGGTTCGGGTAATTTCATTTAGAACTGGGTCACTATTAACCCCGGCGCCGTTCGTAACTTGAAACTCTCAGTGTCTATGAAGATTCCACTCTAGTTCGGAATACTTGAACTTAAGTTTTCTTCAGTAGACGGTCAAAGGCGTCGATGTTTTAATTTAATTCCCAAACGTTCGAGTTCGAAGAGTTTTGGGGAAAGAATGAGGGAAATTAATTAAGCGGAGACCAGAGTCTCGTTGTCTCGAGTCTGGCAACTTGAATCGCACTTTCGAATGCAGATTACGTTTCTGCATTGCAAAGTCGAGCCACGGTTTCCGATGTAAATCGAGGCTGTCCCTTCCTCTGGTCAACTTCGAACGCGATGGAGCTAGCTGAAACACACATTTCGACGCTGGGGATGTTTAAAACTGTTCAAGTATCTGATTTCTTCTCGTTATTCGATAGCTGGACCAATTGGCCTGCCATAAAATCGATTTACATTGATATAGAGACGAGATTCGTGCGTTCATCAAGGAAAAAACGCTCGGTCTGTTAGGTAGATAATCGAAAGTTCGATCGGAAGCCTCGCAGGCTAACGAATTTCGCTCTTCAATCGGCCGGCGTGATTAAAAAGATTGAAGTGAGCGATGCAACTCGTTTCCAACCTGCTGATTGTTCGTTTCGCCCTCGGTATTTCGAGTTTTTGGGGAAAACAATGAGTTTCCGCTTTTGGAAATGAAAAGGTGTACCAATTGCGTAGCTTCGAAAGAGACAGATTTCAATTCTTTGTAAAGAATTTTTACGAGAACTTATGCTTGAGCGTCAAATTCATCATAGAATAATTAAAAATGTGCTTCATGATCCCTCGGTCTTCGTGGAAATTCAAAAATTTGAAGCTGGATTAAAAATGTTTTCTGGTGTACCATTAATCAGAGTAATATTTTCCTCAAGTAACGTGCAGATCTGTAATCGAATTTCAACGCTATCCACGAAATGCAACAAGTTGCTGAATTCCAGCCGGAACTTGAAGCACCTGTGTGTACGTGTGTGTTTGTTCGATCAAACGAATTAGAGAACTCAGTGTAATATATATTCTCGATTAGAAAATATGTTTCACTTCGATCCATTGTGACCTGTAACTTACAGCCAGCCATTTTGTGCTAACAATTTTGATGAAAAAAGCGTATGCAGAATTTTTTCAAGATAATAGAATAATTTAGAGTGAATGAAATAAATAGAACATCCTATAGAAGAAAATAGTGGAATCGAAATAAAAGGGACAAAGGAATTGGAAATAGCAGATGATTCATGGTAACTGAGAACTTTAAAGGATCTAAAATTCGCCAGAAGAATTGCCAGCCAATTGTACGCGAGGATCTGGGAATAAATTGTGATACAGGAGGTCATGAGTCGCTAAAATCCGCTAGTCTCGTACGGAGGAGGCTGTCATCACAGAACGTGAATGGAATAAACGTGCAAAAGTTGGCCGGAAGCCATGCATCCAGGCAATATATTTCAGTTTAGCATATAAATGTTTCCAGCAGAACCCGTCCTCCTTCTCACGCATTTCCATGTTCTGAATCGATCCTCTTGTACGATTATATTCCTTTTCTCCTTTGATACGTGAAGGAATCTATTCTGCCTCGTTGAAAGGTATCAAGTGATAAAAGTATCTATGGACGTATCGAATTTTCAAAGTCTTCCTTAACAGGTGTAGTCAGTTAGAAAGTGAAGCTACGAAATATCCTTAGAACAGAGACCGGTGGATTGTAGGCCCACAGGAATTGCTGGACGGTACGTCTATTGGGATTGCGGGTGGTAGGCCCACAGGGGCCGCTGGGTTAATATGTGCACATGAACCCTCGGGTGGTAGGCCTACAGGGGCCGCAGGGTTAATACGTGCATGTGGACCTGCGGGTGGTAGGCCTACAGGGGCCGCTGGGTTAATACGTGCACGTGGACCTGCGGGTGGTAGGCCTACAGGGGCCGCAGGGTTAATACGTGCATGTGGACCTGCGGGTGGTAGGCCTACAGGGGCCGCTGGGTTAATACGTGCACGGAGACATGCGGATGGTAGGCCTACAGGGGCCACTGGGTTAATATACGTGCACGGAGACCTGCGGGTGGTAGGCCTACAGGGTCCGCTGGGTTAATACGTGCACGTGGACCTGCGGGTGGTAGGTCTACAGGGGCCACTGGGTTAATATACGTGCACGGAGACCTGCGGGTGGTAGGCCCACAGGGGCCGCTGAGTTAATACGTGCACGTGGACCTGCGGGTGGTAGGCCTACAGGGGCCACCGGATAGTAGGACCACAGTGTATTCCCTCACTCTCAGATCCTTACTAAGGATAATATGTGTATTAATGTCTATAGCAATGCATTAATATTGTAGAATCACATCTCAAACTTGATGATAGAACCAAACTCGATGTTGGATTACCTGCGCATTGTGTGGTATACCTAAGCCAAGTATTTCCTTTCCGCGGTCTATGATGTTTCTGTGGTAGTATCTTTGATGACAGTAACACTAGAATTGTCTCAGAGCACCGCAGCGTTAATTACTATCTCCAATGGAAATTCCACGTACCTGTACAAAGGAGGTGTTTGACAATACTGAGCACAAAGGACATAGTACGAAACCTTGTCACCTCCTGCAATCGTCTTCAGTCGGAATTGTAAAGGATAAATATGATCTAAGTGGGCAACTGCCTTGGCTCCATTCTAGCGGATCCCTTTTGGCGAAAGACTCCTCTGGCTGGCGCGAGCAGCTTTAACGAGTTTCTTTGATGTAACGACGCCGGTTGAAAGCTGCGAACATTAAACTGCTTTACGAGTGCGCGTCTACGTTTACGAGTGCAGTGTCGCGTAATATTCGCCTCTTCACGCTGTAACAAGCTAGATACGATATCTTGGTTCACGTTGCCAGCCAGTTGGTTTATCGCCCCCTGTCGAATAGATTAACCTCTCCGTGAGCCGGTATACTTCACGCGGCCCTTAGGAAAGGTTAATTTGACGTAGTCGAGCGCCGTTAACGGGCTGAGAAGTTGTTTCGTAACACCTGATGCGTTCGAGTCGCTTCAGGCTATCGAGTGATCCCGCTTGAAAATCCCTTTCTTATCCCGACCGTCTCATCTGTCGGTTCCTTCAGTCCACCTTGAGATCCGGTTATCAGGAGAGGGTAACCCGGTGCTGTTGAGATGGCCACTTAATCTTTGAAGGGTTTGATATAATTGGAGTGTCTGAGGTAAGGAGTTCGAAGCAGAGAGGGAAAATTGTGAAAAACGAGGACTGCTCCTTGTTAAACGTAGAATCTGAAACCTACAGTTCACTTCAACTATTAGTATTATAAAAATTATCAAGATGAACTGGTATCAACAACGTGTAATCGATTAGAATTTCATCAGAGTTTGGTTTGGACCGGGTCCAGGTATCCATAGGGCGGATTACATTTAACGCAGTCCCGAATTAAATTTCGCCCAGGTTTAACCTAATCTTGATCTACCTTTAAATCAGACCCTCAGGGCACATCGGTATTCGGTTAGAGTTAGAAATGACTTAAAGCCAGATAAGGACTCGGAATGATCCCTAGGAACTCCTCCACCTTGCCTATCTACCAGGCTTTCAATTTTAACTTCAAAGTTCCAAGGACATATCGGTAGGACCTAGGACACTGTTCACGAACTGGTTGAACTTTTCTTGGCCCATTAACGTCTAGGACGATCCGGAAGAGTAACGATCTAGGTGGGCAAGCTGCAGAACGGTCAGATAATTAAACGGCAAGCTTAATGGACGAATAGCAGGCAAACTGACCCTTGGTTAACGATTAAAATCGTAATGAGACCGCATATGTGACGTGCTGGTGGCCCATTAGCGTAACAAGTCGCCGTAGTTGTGACGGTTACTGTCCCAGGGAATTATTGCACCGCCGGTCGAATCATGTGTACCATTCGCCCGATCTACCTGGTAACGCGGACGCGTGCCAAACCGCTTGGAATTTGCTCTTGAAAATCCAACTGTTTCGTGGCGGTGTTACGTCAGCAGTGATGCCGGCTGCATTCGTACAAAGCCGCCAGCAGATGTAACGATGCCGCTATGTATTATTCATTACGAGACGGCTGTGCGAGGCTTCTTACGTACAGTTAGCGTTCTTGTTACCTCTGATACTCGCTTGTTTTGTGCAGTGGCAGGAAAATTTGTTTGCCTTACCTTCTCGCTCGGAAAGTCTATTAAAGTGGAACTTCCTCTCTTAGTCCTTGTTGATTGTTGTCAAGTACTTTAACATGTATAACTGCTGTTTATTGTTTAATAAAGGTATACAATAGATGAAGGTCTGTATAGCTTTTTCGTTTCGTCTTGTACACTGAGCTTGGGAAGATATTGTTGAATCCCAGTAGTATAAGACGAGGATAAGTCAGACATGTTTTATTTTGGTACAATTATTAATGGAATGGAGTCGAATAAGTTTGTAAACACATTATGAGATTCATTTTAAATAATTTTAAAGTGTATAAAGCGAATTGTATGGAACTGAATTCAGAGGGGATGGGGGAATGCTGGGTGCCAGTAGTATAACTCAACCATAAGTCAAACATTCGTTTTTCTGGTGAAATAATCAATGAAATGGGGTCGAGTATTTTTTCAATAAAAACTAATAATTGTAATAATAATTTTCATAACTAAACTTCAATAAAATTTTCATCCTATACGTTATACGTCAACTAATTTTCAACAATCAGATAAAACTGACATCCATTTAAGTTTCCGTGTTGGAAAAAAACGTTACAGATTAAAGACACGAGTTGAATGAAAAGTTCGCAGAAAATTAAAGAGCCGTAAAATG